CTGGGTTTTTATTGCTTTTCATTATATATTCACTGCTTTTTTTCATATCTTCACGTAAAGAATTGGATTTCAGAATCGCTTTTTGGATCGCGTTTCTCCTGTTTTTTTAATAATAATCTCGATTTTTTTGCGTTTCGCTGTATTCATTATCATAAGTGTTAAATAACGTTTTCAGATCCTAAAAACGCGTTTTGTATATTCAGCTGTAAAAAATACCGGCGATAAATTTGGATGGTTCAGTAAGGTGATCAGTTTTACGAAAGGAGAACCATGGTTCGTTTGTTGAGTTTTGTAAAAAAAAAAAGGTTGATGAGTCAAAAATTCTTCTGTATTTTTGGTATGCTCTGTCAATGGTAAACCTTTTTCAGCCGCTAGATTGAGGTAGGTGAAAGTAACTTTAGGGTTACTAGCAGATTGACCATCATGCGGTAAAGATATTGGAAAATCGCTGGTTGGGTACCATGAATTCTTCAGTTAAACCATGTGCTGTGTGCTTGCACTCGAAATTTAAACCAATTAAAGATGCTTATGGTCGAAATTTAGTCAGTTATATAACTTTATTTTAGTAACAGGGCATAATTCGACCAGTGTTTACAGCTAAGGGATGAAACACAGACTGTAGACTGCATCAATTAAATGTTTTCTTATACATGACACCTAAGTCCAGTCCTATTCTACTATTCATACTGATTATTTTGGTGATTTTCGTAAAATTTCTCTAGCGGACATTGAAATTATCACATAGGGGGCGGGGGGAGGGGGTTTACACCCGGGAACACTTTTTGCTTACTGCTAAAGTGATTTAGATGGTTATTATTAAAAAATCATATCCGAAAAGTTGAATTTGCAGGTTCGAATACTATTACAAAGATGCATATCTTGAAGATCTTGTTGGTATTCAGGAGGTAATTGCCGATCCAACTCACCAAAGTTTTTACAATACGATCCATCATGATCACTGAACCAGAGTAAATTATCACGAATTTTCGTTGTTTTATCTTAGTTTACTAGTTTGTTTGCCCCTCTTTACATAACAGGGCATAGAAGCCCGTTTTTTTTAGCTCACCAGGATAACGAATTTGAGATTCTCATGTTAGAGAAATTCCTTGAATGCTTTCATATGTCCGGCACACTTCTACCGGATTTTGTTCATATTAGATTAAACGTTCTGTTTTTGATTACTGTTTCCATCTTAAACGTTAAAATAAAGTATAATCCATGGTTCTGCACTAGTGGGTTTTAAATCGTAATCAGTTAGTTTCGTGAATTTTGTGGAGTTTCAAGGATTTCATTGATGTTTCATTGGAATAGGAATTTTCTTTCTTTGTAC